ATTACTGCACGCAAAATTGGATCTTGATAAATCCGGCCCAAAGACTGGTATCAGGCATTGTAGGCTAACAAAAGAAACCAAATGACCTCCATTCTAAAGGGGAGGACCCGTTTGTCTGATACAATTTGCATGTTTTCTAAGCTACAACAAGGCTTTGTTTTTGGTCCACTCTATAAAGCCTGGAACTCAACACTATTTCTGACATTTTGAATTGAAAAAGCTTCCTGGATGGGAAGAGAAACGTCTTCAAACATTCACACTGCAGGCCTTGATGCTTAATTCCGATTTTTTTTGTGAAATCCATTTTTTTTTTTTTTGCGTTGCCGTTCACATTTCCAAATATATGCGACTTGAATGTGATCTCCTGTGTGAACTGCAGTCATACAAACGCAAGTGTCCCGCATGCGCAGTAGAGGACGCAATGACATCACAGGCCAGCGTGCTCTGTGTTTACAGAAAGTAAACATGGATTGTAGCACTGGAGCACATCTAGCGATCTTTCCCAACCATAAAATCAAAATCTTTTCAAGATAAATAATGCTCCCCGCATCATCGTCCGCCATGGTTGTTGTTTTTCTTGCCTCTTCTTCATATTAAGACCCAGAATAGTGACCTTTGTCGGGTATTAATGGCGTTCAGGTCGGATGAATGCGAACTGGCCGTTCACACACAGATTGCATTTAAAATGATCGGATTTGTATCGGCCTGGGTCGCATTGGAAAAAATCGGATCTGTGTTGTTCACACAGCCATGAAAAGATCAGATCCAGGTCGCATACAGGCCAAAAAATCGGATTTGGGTCACTTTAGGCTGCAGTGTGAACGTAGCCTAAATGTAGTGGTTTGTGATTTAACTTTTTTTTTGGAATGACTATGACCTGGATAACTGAGAATCTTCACCAGAACATTAATATTAATACTTTTATTAATATAAATATTATTTTAATAAAATGAAGCTTTAGTTTGAATATTTATGCGTTTATTTTCTTCTGAGTTCTCAGTAACAGTGTTGTTCTCCTGTTCTTTCTGAAAGATGGAAATGCAACCCCTTCACTTCCTGGTGGGCGTGGCCTCCAGCTGCTGGGCAGGTTGTCATTGGTTGGACAGTCGGAGCTGGAGGAAGTCAGCGGTCTGCCAAACGGACACCACTCCTCCGACCATCTTCCTCTTCTCGCCCGCTTTCGGCTGCACTGCTGATGTTTGTGGACGCGGTCCGTCACATGGTGCCAGCAGAACCACAGAGGGGAAATTTAGTTCTATTTTATTTTATTTTATTTGAGGAATTGAAATCTGGCAGCTGGAAATGAAGGAGGAATTAAATTAGAAGTAACCCCAAGAAAGAAAAATGGTTGACTAAGAGTGTTCAATAATTTTAAAAAGTTTTATTTTAACATCTGAAAGATCATAAAAATTATACAGAAGATGTAAAAAAAAAGCTTATTGCTGCAGATGGCAGCTAATACTGTATATTTAATGTGGGATTTGCACAAAGAATCTGCGACGGGAAGTTAAATTAAGAGCTTATTTAGAGATTTGAACATGTTTGGACAAGATCAACCCTAAAACTCTTTAAATTAAGATTTTAAATCTTAGTTTAAAAGCAGCAATAAAGCAGCATCAGATTCCACGTCTCTTTTTCTTACAGCTCTGGACAGCATGTCAACATGTTTAGATTAATAAACATCAACTTTTCTATTAATTAGCCTTTTTTTCTCTTTCTTAAATTTGATATTTGGTTTATTATTCAATAATTCCTACCAGCCAGCATGGAGATGCTTAATGTTTAGGGTCTGGTTTTATTCCAGGATTTTATTTTATTTAACAGATGATTCATAAACGAGTTTTAAACAGGTTTGCTGCTGATGAATAACAGGAATTATTCAGGGGAAAGTTTGTGCTTGAAGAGCTTTATGTGCCAAAACTAAGAAAATCACATTTTTCATTGTTTTATTGGTTTGAATTATTTTTATCCCCCGAAAAAAAGGAAATTCTGCATGTCTGTGTTTAGAAAATTGGAATAAATGTTAAAGTTCCATTTATGTAAGGGTTAAATTTATTCTATTTTAATGCTGTTCTTCATCAGTGAAGGAATATAAACTACAGATTGTTTGGACCATGTGTATTTTTCTACTCCTTTGTTTGCCTTTGTGGGGAAGTTTACAGTTTGTACATAAATAAATTTGTATTTTTACACCCGGCTGCTGTTTATTTGGTTGGATGGTTTGGTAGGATCGCTGTTTTCTCATCACACGCTGACCCGTCTGGTTTTTCCAGAGGAAACATTTATTAAATATATATATCTTTAAATATCTTCAACTCAGAAACTTCATAAGAACGAATCAAAGTAATATGTTGAAGCCTGCCATCGCAACTTTAGAAAGAAAGTTAACAAAGGACAGTTTGAAGAAAGGTTTAACAGAGTTTTATAACTTAATGATGTTACAAATTTTAGAAGGATCTCATAATAGACTTAAGGCTTGGAAAGAAGATTTATTGATTGTGTTTAACAGAGGAAGATTGACAGACAGCATGTAAATTGGTAACCTGACTCCGTCAGATGGATTTGCTCCGCATATCCATCTAGAAACCATCGGTTGAAGTAATTTTGGGAAGGGGCGAAAATACTGGTTAGCTGATTGGCCTATGTTGGTGATAGACGGGCCAAATAAACCAATCACATCAACGAAGCATATGACGTACTAACAGAGCGACGACGAAAACACAACCACAAGCCAGGCTACTCTTGCTGAAACCAGTCGGGAGAAGAGCAAAAACATCTTTTCCTAAACGCTAGTTTCATCGGCTGAAGCCGCCATGTTCTTTAGACTGAACGGTCGCGCTTCTCGTTGCGTCACACCTCAACCCGCCTCAAAGCCAACGCTGATTGGACGTTCGTTTGGTGAACGGCTCCAAATTTTCTTTAACGGAGAGTCTCCAGACTGATTTGCGAGTGAAATCTTGAAAGCTCGCGAGATCAGGATGGTCTCACGAGACAAATCTAATTTTTGAGCCAAGGTTGTTTGTGTTTGGATTATTCCTTGAAAAACATACTTACACAAAAAATGAACGAGTGTTTATAAACTTAAGTTTGCTTATGGCGAAGAAATGTATATATTTGGAAAAAGGCTCACAGACCGAGAATAGCAGATGTTCTCTGTCCTCCCTCTGGAAAAAATCATGTCTATATTAAAGGACCAAAGATAATTTATTGGAGGACAAATACTGTCAAATTTAATTGTCATTATAAGAGGCTAAGCATGAACAGTGATCAGTCACATTGGAGTAAATGTGTGAGGCAATTTGTTGTATTTTATTTTGACTTGAACAGTAACGTAAATATTGCTGCACTGGAAAAACAATCTAGAACTAAGTAAAATGTCCTTATATTAAGTATATTTACCCTTAATTTGAGTTTGTAAATGAGCTAGTTTGCCAATAGAATGATTATTTTTACTCTTAAAATAAGATAATTAGATAATATACACTTTAAATAAGACAATGCGGCTGTGTTTTCTTATTTTAAGTGTAAATTGTCTCGTTCCATTGGGAAGATGTCTCTTTTACCTCCTCAATCCAAGAACAAATGCACTTATTTTAAGAAAAAAATTACTTATCTAGATTTCAATTTTTTTCCAGTGTGTGATTACATTCTGTATATTGTTCAAGGTGTTTGTTTAAATTGCTAAAATTTGAATAAATATATTTTGCTGATGAAACATTGCAACTTAATGAATCTTATGAAGAACAAAAATGATGACTAAATGTATTTTTAAAGCTAAGTTCTAAAATCTATCAATCACGTTCCGTCCTTTACTAACTTTAGACCCACTTTCTTCTTTTCTGTGACTTAAACAGCTCAGATTTGGATCCTCTTTCCTTTTAATTATATATTTTGATTCTCTGCAGCCTATATTAAATAAATTATTTAGCTTTTAAATATTTATTTTCTGTGAAATAGTTTAACCTGAACTGAGACTTTTTCCTGTATCCTGACCTTCTAGGGAATCATGTTTGTCATTGATGTTTTTGCTGCTATTTGGTTTAATTAAACCACAGAGTGAGAGACTTTTCTTCATCCTGCTTGAGACGAATGTTTGCATGTTTTCCATCGGTGATGCTGCCTTCTCAGCTCTCATTCCTATTGGTATTCAGTCCATCGCTCTGCAGCACTGCAGCAAAACCATCAGCTGCATCTATGCAGCTTTAAATAACTGCTTATTAAACACAAGCTGGTTTCTAAATATTTTGCCTGCATATGTCAGTGGAACTGTTATGTCTTTCCTGGAATATTTCAGGGTTTTAATTCCAGTACTTTCCCTACTGTTGAATGCTTCTTTATTCTCACTAAATGGATATCTGACTTTAACTTGATTATATGATTTTTACAGTAATCACATTTGGCCTGAATATTTTACTGCAGAAATGTCTGCACAGAGATGAAAACAATCTGTTCACACTTTTTAGTTGCTTACATAATGGCCACTAGATGGCAGCAAAGGGCTTACTTGTTCAAATTGATATTTTAAATATGTTCAGTAAATTAAAAAATAGAAAATAGCTAAAATATGCAGAAGAAAAGTTTAAGGAGAAATAAAGGGATTCTAAAAATTATAAATATTATTCTTTATAACCAATGTAAAACCATGCATTTTCTTTAAAATAAAAAAGTTAAATAAATGGGATAGATTGAAATAAAATGGGATAAAAACAAGTAAACAAAAAATACAAGAAAAACATCACACAACTACACACATAAGAGTAATTTAGAGCCACCAATGAACTTAACAGTGATGTTTTTTGAAGTATCCTAAGCTGGGGATTGAAACCTGCAGCTTTGCTACAGATTTCCAGTCCTCCCTGAAAAAAGTGACGTCACACTCAGGCAGCTGACAGGCAGCTAGGTAAAACTCCCCTTCCTCTAAATCCTTAAACTGGAGCAGAGATGAGAATTAAAGGATTACTTGTAAAAATCTGCGGCGTCCATGAGCCTCCATGGAACTCGCTCACATCTGCAGTTTGACATAAGCTGATTATATTATCAGAAGCCAGGACATCATGCAGCGTTTTTAGACTGAAAATTCCCCCCATTTGTTCAACAAAGGTTTGCTGCTTCAAATAAAACATGTAGATATATTTTATGGAGGACTTTCCTCCCAAAATAAGATGGTTTGGATCCATTTGTGGCTTTTAAGCTTTTTATGATCACATAATATTATTTACAAGGCAAATGGGGAACATATATATAATCAGTGTTTACATCAAATATTAACCTTTACAACAAACAAATGTCAAAAAATCCTACAGGTTAAAACTCTTTTCAGATCTGCGGGGATCCTGCGTGGAGGAAAGGTCACTCCTGATGATTCTCTCTGCAGTTTGGATCTTTAGTTAAACTCCACAGAGATACATAAACAGATTGAATGATTGTGGCGTAGAAAGTAATCAGCTTTGGTAGAGCGTTGAGTTCCTGCAGGACCTCCTAACTCTCCCTAGGAACCATGAGGTCAACAGTACAAAAAAACAATCCAGGGTAGGAAAGGAACCTTGGACTGTTTTGCTGAATCCTAATCAGATTAGGACTACAGCCTTCTGGAGAAAAGAACTACAAATAGGAATGTTAGCGAACAGCTAAAGCTCTCCATTACAAAACCCAAAACAGTCACAGATACATGTGAAGAAACTCCATGAGGTGGGCTCTGTCAATACATCCTGTTATGCAAAGGATTATGGGAAACTGTATAGCTCCTATACAGCTGATAGGAATGTCAGCTTTCTGCGCTAAATGATAGGAAGCATCCTGCTTCCTTTTCCTACATCCTTCCTTACTGACATCACTTTCACTTTATCCTTTACTTCTTTATATTTCTCTGAATCTGCCACAGAGACGTTCAACTTGTTGATTAATCCTCGTCTCTCATTCAACCAGACTGCAGGTCTGTCATCTAAAATCCTCAGCAGGTGAGAGAACACAGCTGCAGGGAATCCCACTTTTTCCTTCCACTAAACTAAAAAAAGATTCTCGGCAGCTTCTTTAAAAATGATATTTTGTGTTTTCAGGGTCAAATCTGTTCATAAGCCTTTATAGGGCAAGTAAGCATTTATGATCACTTGCATAACCCTTAAAAACTGAGTCCCCCCATCCCTCAGAGAGGTCTAGAAGCAGAAGATCTATGACAACCATTCAGCAAAGATATTGCATCTTATTTTGGTATTTGGGACTGCTCAGTGGAACAGTGGGTAGCACTGCTGCCTTGCAGCAAGAAGGTTCTGGGTTTGATTCCCTGCCTGGGGTCTTTCTGCATGGAGTTTGCATGTTCTCCCTGAGCATGCATCGGTTCTCTCCGGGTACTCTGGCTTCCTCCCACTGTCCAAAATCTCGATTGTTTGGTAATTAATTGTGACCCCATATTTGCATAAAGCGTGTCAGAAAATGGATTTTGGTATCTGACCAATTAGATGAGCCCTTGAATGATATATTTCCTACTGTAAATTAAGTTGGGAAAAAAAGTTAAAAAGGTAAAAAGCTGAACGAAAAGTTAAAAGGGTAAGGTTAAAAGTAAATAAGCGAAGTAAGTAAGTTTCTGTATCATCATTAAGGTTACATTATAACCTTTAAGGTTATAATGTAACAAAAAATGTGTTTCTTTCACTCTGAGATTTTTTTTAAATTAATTTCTTATAGAGGCACTTTTGTTATTTTTCTTAATGGGCAAGTTGGCGTTTTTTATTTCGTTGACACAATGTTTTGCCATCAAAATATCCATATTTTTTGAATGTTACAAAGGTAATTGTCATGGTCTTGGTTCTGTTGTTCTTTACTTTGCTCCTTGTTTTCTAGTTTTATTGGTTTAATTCCAGTTTTGTTGTAATTTCTAGATTTATGTTAGTTCTCATGTTTTTTCTGTTGCCCTCTTGTGTGTGTGTATGCTCCTTTCCCCTTGACTCTCTCGTCGTCTCCTCTCACACCTGCTCCTTGTCAGCTCGTTAGCCCTCCCTTTGTCTCTGTCAGCTATATATGCTCTCCCTCCTTGTTGGTTCATTGTTGTTGCTGTCCTCCCATGCTGTTGTCCACCTACCTCGTCTCTCCCCGGCTCTTTGTGTTTTGGTTTCCCCAAATGTCTCCTTAGTTCTGGTTTGCTTTTGATTATTAGTTGGATTTTTGCATTCCTACCTTTGTTTACCATTTTGCCGCATTAAACTGCTAAAAATCTCCTCAGCCTCTCTGCCTCTGCATTTGGGTCCTCTAAACCGCAACCAAACCCTGACAGTAATAATGTGCTGTAATGGATTCAAATAAAACTCTTGTCTTGATGTTTTGATTTTCGAAGTATTTCACTTAGCTCCATATAAAGGGTTAAATGTGTAACATATCAATAATGAAGCATTTTTTTATTTAGTTTTTTTTTTTTTTAAATCTTATATAAACATTGGTCATTTCCAAGATAAACTACAACTTTGTATTATCACCAAGACATCCAAACTAATGCTATAAATAAAAGCATAATTTAATGAGTTTCATTTTTATTTTGTCCTTGTAGTTTGGAGAGATGCAGGTTGAGAAGTTCAGGCAGATATTTTATTAACTCCATAAAGAATCTAAGAAAGTTTAACGAATCATTTTCAAATTAAATTTTCTAAAACTTCTGACAAAAAGAGCAACACCAGCTGAAAAACATAGATTTCTTTTTTATTAAAACAACACATGCTGCTACAGTCGTGGATAAAAACTGCTGATGTAACAGTAGGAGAGTAACAATGATAAATCACCAGGTTTCACATTTTAGCTCATTTATCTCCACAGAATAAAAAACAAAAACAAAAATAACAGCAGAGGTAACTCAGGAAAAACAGGCAGAAATCTAGAAAGATTTTCATTCGGCCGAACTTCAGCTGTGTTTGATTATATCTAGAAACCGTTGGAATACTGTTAGGGTGAGAGGTTTATTTCTACACACACATGCAAACGTCTGGAACTGGAAGGCTGCTTCTCCTCTCCTTCTCTGCAGCACCGTCTCCACAATCAGGCAAGAAGCAGAAGTTGATGGATTTCAGAGCAAATTCAAAGTCAAAAAAACAAACTAATCAACTAAATAACAGCAATACTTGGAGTAAACATGGAAACTTTTTTTTTTTGCACCTTTAAAAAAGTCAACTTGATCCTTTAATTTAACGCAAACTGCTGAGGCACTAATAAAGCTGTTTATTCATTGTCCTCCGATCTAACACTAAAAGCATCTGGATATGATGGAGTTTGACTCGATTAATAACGATTCTTTAATTACGTGCAGCTGTGCACCTTTAGAAGAAGCAGCCTGGTTTGGTCAAAGGATCTCATGTTTTACAGCTTATAGAAGTTATGCAACCGTATATTATAATAAAACATGGGTGGGGGGGGGGTCAGTCCATTGGAACAGCAGGAGCCGAGTCGGTTTCAGCACTTTAAAACAAATCAAAGGCTTCATATGAAACGATCGCTGCAACAGCAGAGAGTTTCATATCTAACAAATGTTTCATTCAAAATCAGAGTACAATCAAAACAAACATCGTAATGAAACAGACTTTTGAGTCAAACAAAACATTCAGAGGAACTTTGATGTATAAACTTTGTTCTGTTGGTTCCTCCTGAAAAGTAAAAAAAAAGTAAAACTTTCTAACGACATATTTTCCATGTGCTTCTGGATTCTAACAAACGTAATGTTTAAAAAAAAAAAAAAAAAGTCCCGACAGACAAACTTCAGTCCAAACGGGATGATTTAGAGCCGCTGGTTTCGATTCTGGTCCAAACATCAGAGATATGTTAAAGTTTCTCAGCTGCTAACAGCACCGCGGATCTGCTGATCACAGTTTGTGTTCAGGAGAATCTTTCTGGAAGCTTCCTGCTTTCGGAGAAGCTGCGGAGATGCAGGAACCACAAAGACTCGGAGTGGAAGACGGAGATTTCAGCCTTTTTTTTTGTTGGTTTTCTTTCTGCAAACTCAGCTTGTGCATAGCTCAGTGTTACACAAACAGCTACCTTTAAATGGCGACTAAACGCACTGATTCTGATGGAAAAATGTTACAATCAAATGATGCAAACATAAAGCAGACTGTATGTGATCATGTGTGAATATGAGGATAGAAAAAAGGCTTTAGAAAATAAAACCCTGGAAATTCAAATTAGAGAGAAAAGAAATCTGAATTTCATGTAGTTTGTAAAAAAAAAAAGGAATCAAATACAAATAAAAATCATATTTCCGTTATAAATATCAGCAAAGTCAAGAGAAAAACTAAGTGCATCCTGGTATGGAGGGAATTTTGTTCCAGTATTGCTGGAAAGAAAGAAAATGTTTTATAATTTAAAATTGGTTAAAAAAAAATTTATTCCAGAAAATAACTTTGATTATAACTTTTCTGTTTTCTAACATTTCTTTTTCATATTTTCTTTCCTTTTTTCCAATTATTATTTTTTTCCATACAGATTTAATCTTTTACATTTTAGATTGAGTTTTAGAAATGTAATCAAGCTTAAAGTAAAGAAAAATGCGATTAGGAAAACTCAGTCTGAAAAAAAATTAGAAAAAAAAGAATATATAAAATTTTAAAATAGTAAAGTAAAAAAAAAGCTCAAAATGGAAAGAAATTATTGAAAAATAAAATCTAAGAAAAAGCATAAATATCACCCAAAACTTTATTTTTAAGAAGTTATTCAAAGTTTTCATTTCTAGAGTACATTTTACATCTTTTATTTTCAAAATAATTTCCAAAATTCCCTCCATACTTTTTCTACCAGCCTGATTTAAAAGCTGCCAGGAGCTTCTAATGAAACAAAGCTGAACATCAGCCCCTTTAAAAGCTGCAGTCTGTAGCTTTAACTCAACACTAAAGCAGAAAGTCATCAACAACGACCTCAGAAAAATACTTATCTGTCCGGAAACTTATTTAGGACTTTGGAAAAGTCTTTAATTTAACAATATTACCGAGAAGTGTAGCGTCTCTAAGAAACCAGCATCTAATTTTAAATGCTAAGAGAACCAAGAGCTCCTTGGATTTAAATCTGAAAGGCCGAAGCCTTTTTCATCTAAAAACAAAATGGCTGAAGGGCTTTCAGTTAGCAAGAATCATCGTTCAGATCAGACCAAAACAGGAATAATTGGCCATAAAGTTCAAGTTCACCGACATGCATGGAGAGAAAACTAAACAGCCCAGCAGATAACACCAAGCACGGTGTTGGCGGGGTGAAGATCAGGGCATGTTGAGCCAACAGTGGCTCATAAAGATGAACCTGATCTGCTGAAAGTGTTTCTATAAGCTGGTAGTTTAAGTTAACTTAGTTTTTCCCAAGACTTTCCTGACAAAGAGCTGCTGGTTAAAGTCACACAGGAGGCGTTTGAGAGGAAAAATACAGAGATTTTCCATGTTTGGTGTAAAATAATACAGAAAAACATTTGATTACAGGTTTCCTTATCTGCTGATGAAAGGCAGAAGAATCCAAACAGCCAACATCCTCCTTCCAGAGGATCTAAACCTGTAATGATCTTTAAATTGAAACAGAAGGGATACGGTTCCATGTGTTCTAAATGGGCGAGTTAAAAAGGCGCTGACCCTTACGCCCTAATAAGGCTTTAATTAAAGACGTGTCACTTCCTGTTTCTCTGCAGCAGATTCCTTCTATATCCCAGCAGTCTGTGGGTTTGCTGCTGCTGTTATTTGTTTTCTGCAGCATTAGTCAGGATGTCTGAGAGGATTTTATCCACTTTTGACTCACATGAAGAACTTTTAAAGGTCTGAGGATGTAAACATGTTGGGGTTGAACATAGAAAGCTTGTTTTTTTTTTCCTTATTTTTGCAGGAGGTGAAGATGAAACCCTCTGTGCTCTGATGCTATCGTCCCTCTTTTCTTCTTCCTCCTCCTATTTTGTTCTAGATTGCCTTTGCAGTTGTTCCGATGCGGCCTGAGCCGCATCATCTGGACCGCCGTTCGCTCAGAGCAGCTTTGGATTTCCTCATCTGACCGCTTCATCTCTGAGCTTTGCTAAATCTTTACATTTTTGGTCGTTCTGCTGAAGCAATAGTTTAAATCTGATAACAAATCATCCATCATGGTGGAAAACTCACAGGAAGCTTTAGGAACTTGTGAAATCCAGGAAAAAGAAATTAGTTTTTTTATAGTGTTGAGTGAGCCTTGAACACCTCCCCTTTAAGAAGTGACTAAGTGTGGTTAGAATCCTATAATCGGTGTAACTGTGCTGTTTGCACCAGGTTACTTCCACCTGGTGGCAGTTATAGACCCTTGGCTGAGAAAAGGATGGATGGGGGGGTGGGGGCATCAGATGCGGATCTGGTAACCGTCGCTGAGGGTGCTGAGCTCCAGAGGTTTCCTCTCCACTGAGGCTGGCCTGAAAGGAAACCAGACGAAGCAGATTAACTCCAGCTGTTTGTTGAAGTGATGCTAAATGACCTGAAACTGTTCAGCTGATAAACCCTTTTCTTAACTCTACTTATTGAGAAGAACTTCTGGTAACTTGAGAAGGAGAGACAGCAGCAGAATTTATGCCCCGCCCTTCTCTGACTGAGAATAGGTGGGAGCGTCTCCCAACCTTCAGACAACGGACTCCAGGTGAAGATGTTCAGTCACAGAGCAGCAATGAGCTCTGTGAGGGTGAAAACACTGCAGGGAAGTTTGCTCCAAGGAGAAGTAGGCGGTAAGAGCCACAAATTGTTTGGAGCGTGGAACGATTATAGATTAACTTCATGTTTCCAAGTTTGAAGATGTTTCGCTTCCCATCCAGGAAGCTTTTTCAATTCAAAATGTCAGAAATAGCGTTGAGTTTGTGGTTTTATAGAGTGGACCAAAAACAAAGCTTGTTGTGGCTTAGAAAACATGCAAATTAAAGGTATACTATGCAACTGGTGTTGATTTTCCAGCGAGGCTCCCCCCAGAGGGCGAAAGTAAAAGTGCGCTGTCGTAAATATGCTCAGCTGTTCTCCTGGTTTCTCCGTCAAGTCAAGCCAGGCGCGGTTGTTTTGAGCTTAGCAGACAGGCGAACGGAACGAATCACCATGTCTACTGCGGTAAGTCGGTAAGTGACTATTTTGTTGCAATTTTCGAGTTTGAAAATTTAGCATGTTTTCATACATTATTTGTTATGCATGTGTCTAAATAACAAAGATTGTAGTTAGCCAAGTTGGAGTTTCCCATACATTTATCCGACTGTCGGATGACATGGGCTTTCACTGTTTTCTCACTGGTTCCGCCATGATAACTGCACAATTATCGCCAATGCGCTAGCAACGAGCATGCCTTTCACTGGGGGCGTGTAGCAGTTCTCGCCGTAAAGCAAGACCGACTCCCGCGATGCACGAGACTTCTGAGCCTGTGGGTGCGGGCCGAGGGCTCCTGCAATTGCAAGTACGGTATTTCCCCTACAGACCACCAGGGCGGCCGAGAAAACCTTTGTTCGACCTGAAATGACTCATTTAATCATCCAAAACGTTATGGAACACATTAATTAACTGAAAAATGTTGCATAGTATGCCTTTAAACCGGACGAACGGGTCTACCCCTTAGGAATAGAGATTGTTTGGGTTCTTTGTTAGCATGCAATACCTGATACCTCTCTATGTCTCTGAAATTGGGCCGTTAGAGGGAATTGCTGGCCTGGCTGAACAGGCGAGGTCTTCTGTTCCCCTGTAAGGTGGTGGGAGGTGCAATGATAGTGGGAAGGAATCAACCTGAGTCCACCCCCTCTGTTTAAGGTTGGTTTTTCTTTTTTAACATAGATGGCTTCCTTCACGCCCCTCTCAAACCACCTGTCTTCATTGTCCTAAATGTGAACATTCTGGTCCTCAAAAGAATGTCCTTTGTCCATAAGGTGCAGATATACCACAGGTTGCTCTTCTGTGGTGGGCCATTCGTCTGTGGAGAGGTGGTTTGGTTTCTCCAATAAAAAGATCAGATCATTACTTACTGCATTGCGAAAACAAGGCTTTGTTTTTGGTCCACTCTATAAAACCAGGAACTCAACGCTATTTCTGACATTTTGAATTTAAAAAGCTTCCTGGAGGGGAAGAGAAACGTCTTCAAATTTGGAAACAAAATCCAGTGGATTGTTGTTGTTTTTTTACCTTTTTTGGAATGACTGACCTGGATGACTGAGAATCTTTACAAGTTATATAATGTTTAAAATGAAAAAGTAAATAAATACTGGAATGTAAAAATGATCAATGTCAAAGAGCCTCTTTGATTCTCTGGTCCTCCAGTCTAACATCCTCCTTTTCTCTCTCTGCCTCCATCTCAGATTCTCTCCAGTCGTTCTGGTTCAAAGGAACTTCTAAAAACAGTTTGAGGTTTACAGAAATTGGATTTCTCAGTCTCCTCTTTTAATCTCTAACAATCGTTGTGCTCCTAATGAGTCGCTGTGAAATGCATGAACTCTGACTGAAGCTGTTGTTGAAGATGTTTCCCAGAAGCTGATGAAGAGCGCTCAGCTGTTCCAGCCTGCAGCATGATAACATTGAGGCTGCTGGAGTGGCAACATATTGTTAAGTAAGTGCTCTGTTGATAACACTAATGGCTTTTTAAGTATCACTTTTTAGTGGTTTAAAGTGTTAATGTGCTGCAGCACAGGACTGCAGTGGGAGGAGAGTTTAACTGCTCCCTGCAGGAGGTGGAAGCGGATTCGTGTGGCGTTTGCACATGTTGGAACATCTGATCCAATTAAAAAAAGTTTAAAACGTCAGTTTTCAGACTTTTACCAGACTGAATGTGCAGCTCAGCTCTGCCTTTTTTTCCAGGATTTTTTTTATTGTTTCATAAATTGGAAATGTAAACATGTTTTTATCCTCCTGTAGAAGTTTGAAAGAAAATAAATCTTTGATTATTCTATTTAAAGGCAGGAAGGGTGACTCTTCTTAATAGTTACTTTGAGGCGTTTTCTTGCTTTGGTTTAGTTGGAACAAGGTCAAGGTTACATTACATCATCAAAGCTGTAATAATCAACAAAAAGTATAAAGTGAATTTGGTTGATTGCTGGTTGGCTTTATCGATCTCACAGAGGAGAAATGTTCTCGTTATATCAGCCCAAATAGTCAAAGAAGAAGATTCTGCCAAAGGAAGAAAAAAGGTGCATGGGATATATACAGTTTAAACATCGCGTCCACATATGACAGCTTCGTTTTGTTTTTTATCGTAGGATCATTATACAGGGTTATTGCACCGTGTGTTTACATGTGTATTTATTGGATGGATATCTATCTATCTATAGTTATTGCACTGGGTATCAAATAGTAAATTGCACATTATACATTACACAAGTTATTGCCGTTGTACTGTCGCACTGTATTGTATTTTTTCCATTATATTTTAAAGAACATGTTTTATAAAAGGAATAGGGGTGGAAATCACATCCATCATAGCAATTCTAATCAGTATCGAATTCCTGACCCAACGATTCGATTATTTTCGATACTCAAGAATACACCACGATACGATTCGATTAATCTTTTTTTTATTTATTTATTTTTTTTTTTTTTTACACCTTACAGG